CTCTGTCACCTACCAGTTTTCACTCATTACGCTCCAGCTGTGCTTTCAGGAGAGACTCAGTGTTTCCCACTGATATTCAGGTCTGCTGGTCCTGAAGGGCAGTGCCGCCTTTGACTGTTCATCCAGCCCTGGACTCTCAATGACATGACGTCCATCAGCTGTGCAATCAATTGGCCCACATTGTTGTAATGTGGATAGGAGAGGACCCTCCAGGGTCTTTACTCACAGAGGCTTATGAACGACCTGTCGCACTGGGTGTAATACAGCCTCCAAGAGCAGGACTCAATTCAAGCCAGGGGTGTCCAACTGCAGTCTAACTACTTGTTCTGACTGCTGTATTTGATTCATTTATTCTCTTAAGTAGGCACCACTTTAGAGTATCGCAAGTCTTGCGTGTGGATGGTGTAAAAGGTGGTGTCCTGTCATGATAACACTAGCTCTTGAGCAGAATCGCACCCTGCCTCCGATTCTCTGCATCTAGTCGATGACGAGCTCCACGTGTTGTTATCTCTGTGATATCCAGGATAGGATCCCATTGTGAGCAACAAAAAAGGCGCAGTGGTCAGCGTTGCTGCCTTGCAGCGCTGGGGTCCTGGGTTCAATTCCTGGGGTGCTGTCTGTGTGGAGTTTGCATGTTCTGTCCAGGTTCAGGTGGGTTTCATTTCCTCCCACGGTCCACAGACATGCTGGTGGGTTAATCGGCTGCTGTGGAAATCGGTCCCGGTGTGTGTGTGTGTGTTAGTGTGGCGCCCTGTCCAGGGTGTAACCCTGTCTTGTGCATGCTGGGATAGGCTCCAGCTCCCCTACAACCCTGAACTGGAAGGAGTGGTTAGAGAAGGTATGGATGGATCCCAAGACACTAGGGGAAAGAGAGCGCACTCCCGGCACTAAAGGTTCGTGGGCTTCAGTCCCTGCTGTGGTTCTGTTTGGGCCTGCTGAGCGGTCACCCTAGATGCACGGCTGTATAACGGGGCACCTCTCATCGCCGTCAGTGCGCTTCTCTTCTCGATAAAGCTCGAGAGCGAAATCCCTCCCGTCTCAAAGCGTCTGGAGAGTCCTTTAAAGCTACAATGCGTGTTTTAAATGTCCCGGCTCTTTTGCGGTTGGACAATTTCCAAATTGAACGATTCCGTCTGTCCCGCGGGTTTGTACTCGACGCCCTCCGTCGCGCCCGCGCCTCCTGAGCCGGCCTGCGCGGGGACGAGCCCTTTTCTGGGCTCGTAACCGCGGGGCAGAGGAGGAGGAGGAAGAGGCGGGGCCGGTGGGGGGGCTCGCTCGCCCCGTCGCTGCGGGGTCCTGCCTTCGTCAGAGCAGGTGGAGGGGGGGGGGAGAGACAAATCAGCGCCAGCGATCTAATGAGGCCTTCAGCCTCTCGAAGCCGAGTCGCAGGGAATAGCTCTCGTTTCACACCGCCAATTAACTCCGGGGGCGGCTGAGGGACAAATCTGTTATTATCATCTGGGACCGCGGTGCGGGCTCGGGTCGCGCTGCAGCACAACGGAGCTTGAAAGGGAGACTGAACATCTCTCAGAGGCGCAGCGCTGGCCGTGGGGGTACGGTCTGTTTGACGCTGTTTGGCGGGACCCCCTGTCTGTCACACGAGGCCACAGAAAAGGAAAGAGGCCACTTCGCCAGCCGAAACCCTCCCCGGCCTGTCCGTCCGTTTTCCCTCCCCGCTTTGACACGAACGGTCGCCGCGAACCGGGTGGGTGTGGACCGCAGGACACGCACACGGGGACAATTCATTAACACCCTCAACCCCCCCCCAGCGTGTTTGTGGACGGGGGGAGGGAACCCCCTAAAACACAGACGGGTGCCCCAGAACTAAATTTTGCCAAGGTGATGGCAGGCGGCAGCGCTAACCAGCCACCAGTACACGGCCGTGGGTGTGTAGGGTATTCGTATTTGCGTGTATTTCCATTTTTGGGATGTATCTCCGTTTGTATAGCAGTAGAAGAAGACGCTCGGTAGTTGTACCACAGCTCATGGGCTCCGAGTTCAAAGCCGGTCTGGGGGTGGAATCTGTCTGTGTGGAGTTTGCACGTTCTCCCTGAGGTGTCGTTTCCCCCCGGTTTTCCTCCCAGAGTTCATGGACGCGCGCTCGTGGCAAATGAGGTCCCCCACGCGCGTGAGCGTGGGTGTCCCCTGTCGTGGCCAGGCGGTCCCGTTCAAGGCGTTTCCTCAACTCGTTCAATGTTGTGTTTTAACTTTATTGGTTGGTTTTGCACTCGAGGCCCACCGTAGCACCGCGAATCCAGAACCGTCCACTAACGGCCAATTCAAGCCTCACTCGTCAACAGCCGTGTCCCAGAGCTCTCCGGGCATGCGCAGGACGAGTCGAGCGCGGACGGTCACCTGCAGGTGACGTAGACAGTGAATGACGAATTCATAGTTTTCGTGGTATAAAAGTCACAGTGCAAGTTAGATCATTTTAAACCGTGCTAGATATTTATGGCACCCGTGTTTCGGTTTTGTTGTGAAACCACACCCATCTCCCAAGATTTCTGGAGGCCACAGGTTTCACCTGAGAAGAAAGGTAGGAATGCGTCGACGTTTACTATGAACACCAATAAAATGAGAATAATGCCCAGTTCAGCAAGACAATCCCTTTATCCTAACCGCGTATGTTACTGCTTGAGATAAAAACAAGCATTCGCCATTTCAAACCTTTTGAAAACTGTTCAAAAGCGCTTCGCTGTGCCGCCCAACGGGAGCACAGCGCGTGAGCTCGTTTGTGAAAGTACCTCTTTCTCAACGTTTACTTCTAAACGGGTTTGTTATACAGGCGTTTGGGTGAAATATTACAGACGTACGCTGTGTAAAACGCCCTGGTAGATGTTACCAGCAATGTGAAGCGGTAAATCATGAGTAAATGAGCGAGCCCTGGTCACGTAGCTTGGAGACCCAACAAGAAACCAACCCGTAACACCTCGCAGTTGTGACATAATACATTATCCTATATTGCGATGTTTGTGATACACTCTCGAGGCCCTAAACAACAAAACAACGTCGTCTGCGTACAAATGAATCCAGTCAATATGAATTGAGAGGTAGTGGGTCGAGTGACTTGTGAGACGGGATGTAAACACGCGTGGGTAAGGGGCCTGTGTACGAAATGTTGAAGTTCATCAGAAGCATTAGGTTTGAAGAAGACAGAGGGAGATTCGCATAAGAATCCGTAAAACAGTGCCGTTGACTCTCGCAGTCAGGGTGCAATAGCTTACTAGTGAACAGTTTATTTTTTCTACATTAATTATTATATCAAAAACGTTGTCAGCCAGATACTTAAATCAGTACTGTTAAGACATCCAATCCGAGGCGAGAAGTTATTTATTACCTTCTGGATCTATGAACAAAACTGAATTATCTGGTTGAAACGCGGTTTTTTTTTAACGCTTTGCTTTTTTTTTCTCACCTATTGATTATTTAAAAAAACCCGCCCTCATTCGGAGAGTTTCCTTATGCTCATTCCTTCATTGTTAACCCATTGGAATGGCGCATTGGCGTGGAACACGGACCCCAGGGAGAAGGCCAGGGTGCCTCCTATTAAAATCTCCTAATTCCCCTGGCGTTACTTGACATTTTAATAGAGCCCCTTCACTCTGAGGTGCTGCTGGTGGGGGGGGTTAAACCGGTAACAAATAATTTCGCCCTCCCTCTCCCTTCGTGTCCTGCCGCGCGCAGGTCTGTGTGCCTGACGGGACACGAGCACTTGACCTCGTGGTAATTGGGGCTCGAGACTCCGAGCCCAGGACAAATGGCCGCGAGAGGAACAGGGTGGGAACTCCTGCCCCGAGGCCGTCTCCTAGGCAACCCTCCTCCACGATCGGCCTTCGCCTTTTTATATTATTTAGAGACCAATGAGCGGCTCTCCCTCCCCAAAAAAAAAGTTTAAACGAGGGAACCAATTGTTTATTTTCATAAAAAATATATTTTTCCCATCTTCGGCGCTACTCCTATATTTATAATTAGGTCTCCAGCCTGCTTTGAAACTTCCCGAAGTTAACAACGACGTTTTCACACGCTGGTTAGAAACCCCTGCGACAATTAACAGCAGCCACGTTATTTAGCGAGATAAATAACTCGAGAATGATTTAGCCCAAGAGTATTTGAAATGAGAATAATGTCGTCCTAGCTGGTTTCGCTTTTTCAATTGAAGCGGGATGTTTCTGGTGTAGAACAGAAATCTGATTAGCTATTTAACACTCTCTACATTTGTGGGAACGGTTATGTTGCCTATTTGTCTTAATCCAGTAGAATAGAGCACAATGCTTTCTAATGCCCGGCGAAAACCGACTTTACACAAGTTACCGCCAACGGTTTACTCTGTTCTTATTCTGGAGCAATTTATTTTTATTTCTAATGTAATTAATTATTCACAACATGTGATAAGACTACAACAAAACCCTTCCTATCGCTCCTTGGTGAAGTAAAACGGCGCAAAGGCTGTCTTGCCTAATGGCTACGTATAACGATGGTTTCCTGTGATGAATAAAATACAGTACTATCACTCAGCACGCGTTATACTTTGTTTATACTGAAGCATTTTGGGGTAAAATATGTGCATGCGTCTGTGTTAACATAAGATTTATAGGGGTGGTTTATTAAAACGTTCTGGGGGGGGGGGATTTTTTTTTTACAGAAAAGAGGGTCACCTCTTATATTGGACACACGAGGTTTCGTCTCTTGTCTCCCGCGGCCGGAGCTCTCCTCGTGAGAAAGCGGGGCGTGCGGGGGGAGGTGGCTGTTTGTTTACACTTTCCCACGGTGCTGTGCCAAGCGCCCACCGCGCTCCGGCCAGCCGCCTGCGAGAGCGCAAACCTCTCCGGAGCGGGCCCTCGCTTCTGCCGCCCCGACCGGCTCTCTCCCCCGGGCTCCGCTCCTGCCCCGCGGCTGCCCCCTGCCGGGGGGGAGAGAGAGAGCTGATAGCCCAGCAGCCCGGCCGGCGCTGAAAGGCCCCGTTAGAACACGATGCTCAGCATAGCGCTGTTTGTTCTCGGAGGAGAACTACAGAAAAAACGTGCCTAAATCGTGAGCTGTTTGTTACACGTTTTTTTTTAACATGTTTTTGGTTTGCAAGGGGTTGTGCAAAAAAGTCGCATCAAGCATCGGCTGAGTGATCGCAAGATCAAGACGCTCCGCAGTAAGACTGAAATGCCTCATGTCTTCCCATATCGTTTGTTTTCCCTGCAGGGTCGGAATAGGGTGGGGGGGGGGGGGGGGTGGGGGGGGGGGCGTGAGCCGGGGGGGGTAGGTACTGTATGGTATTTGAAGAAATCGATCAAAAATCGACACAGTTGGTGTTATCCAGCGCGCGATCCAGCCATCTATTTAAAAATCGATCGACTTGTTTTTTAGAAGTTCGGCGCCTTGTTTATCGCCTGGAAGAACGTTTATTTTTTTGTTATTGTAATAACTTTAGGGAAAACAGAACGAAAAAGGTGGTAAAAAAACACCTTCTGCGCGGGGGGGAATTTTAAGGTTTAATTTAAGGACCGAAAAGCGGTGCTAGAAACTGGCAGAATTGTGCCTTTTGAAGTGCAATCGCAACTAATTGAATTCCGATTTCCTAGACGAGTAAATACAGATAATTGTACTAATTTTCAAGCGCAGAGCGATATCTTTCTAATAAGGCAAATACTTTCGATTTAATGCTAGGATAAAGATTCCTAAAAGATACACTGTCGATTAAAAATGAATAGCATTTGTTTTGCAGAGCTTGGTTTCATGGAGGGGAACGCGCCTGTGATGTTTTGCATTTGCCACACCTGTGATAGCCCTTAAAACACTGATTAGCCCCCTTTTTATTTTATTTTTTAACAACAATAATATATTATTGCGTCTCCTATTTACATACTATAATGTGAGATATAAGAATTATGTCAATACAACAGTCTGCGTGTGTCCAAGGCGCCATAAAAGACATTTTAAACATTTCGCAACCTTTTGTCTACTACATTAATATATAATGAACCATCGCGTGCAAGAATGATGGAAAATGATCTTAAAAAATTCTCGCTAATCGAAATCCTTGTCTAGCCCACAAAACGTACGCTATCAGGCATCGTTTCCGGTATTTGTACAGGAATTGTTGAACGCGCAGTTCATTGCGGCGGGACGTTGGGGTATTCGGCCGCGCAGATTAATGCGCGTTTCCTGCCAGCAGAAACAAAACTGGGGTCAGATTGTTTCTGGAAGACGTCGAACGGAAGAAAAAAATCTTAATGGAAAAAACATTTTAAAAAATATAGAAAACGTGGACGCTTTATTGCTAGTGTGATGTAACTGTTGTGTACGTGATGTATTCTTTTTAAAACATTTATATTTTTATATATCGGCCTGAATAGAGAGAAGGTCGAAAAAATTGTATACGGTTAAAAATGTAATATTATTGTTTCGGATAAGAGTCGAACACACCGCTTTCGGTGAACCTTGAACCAACTGGTTTAAAAGTCCTTTTCACCCTGTACACCACATTAAAACTAAATTCTACTTTTTAATACTCACAAAACGTAATCTGTGCACTCTAGTTTTGTATAATAGAATGCCGTGATAATGCAAAGTTGTATATTAACAAGAATGATATTAAAATTGTTGTATTACCAAACATTTAATTGGAACATTAATTAATACACCCCGTTAAGAAATTAAAAAGGACTATTTGTATTTTGTTCCAGATTTTATTAATAACAGTAATAATGCCTACAGTTCAATTAGACGTCTATTACGATGCTGAAATGTAGTTGTAATAGACGGGCAGGTTGGTCAATGTGACCCTCGGTGTCTGTGGGGAAGGTGCACGCCGGACCAGGTGCACGAGCTGTTCTTAACAGGTAGTGCGTCACAGGGAAGGGCAGTATTATCCCTGTGTGGTCAAGGCTGGGTGTGCACGCTCCGCGCCGACACAGCCTGCGCGCGAATACGTGCACATAGAAGCGCACTTTGCCAAATGCCCTCTGAAAGCTTCCAGCCTTAAGTAAAGGCGGTTGATAGCTTTGGGTTCTGGTGTCGTTGCACTATTAAAAAAAATATCTCTGCACTATTAAAAAAAAAACAACACGTTTTCAGTCAACAAAAAAACAATTATGATATACTTGTAATTAATATTTTGGCTGGTGATTAAATTAAAAGCGCCTTAGTGTACCAGGAACAACACTGTACCTATTCATACAGCTGGTTTTTACCAGTGTAGTCTTGCTCTAGACGAGTATAACAGTACCAGGGACTCCATTGGCAACGCTCACAGTTAGACTGGCACTTGAAGCGGTGCTCCAGACTGATCAGGATCTCTGAATGAAATTCCCGTTCGAGCCGAATTAATGACAGATTTATAGAAGCAGGTCGGAATAATTTTTTTAAAAATTTTTTATTAAGTTTGCTTTTAAACATTCCGTAGAAAACGACACACCTCGGGCACGCCTGGAATAACCCGCCATCACGAATCTCCATTTTTGGAGATTATTGGGAAAAATTAACTCGTCATTTTGTCAAACTGAACTATACATTTTATTAACAAATGTGCCTTGGCAGACTCGT